CAATTTCACGTAATGATGTGTAAATGCAATGTAGCTGTGAAAAAGTCCACAGGAACAAAAGCATCAAACTAAATATATCCACTCACAACAGCACTGGACACACAAATGCATTTCATTTCAGTGTTTACACTGTATTTCTTTAACCCTCTCAAGGCAGGCGTTGCCGATTTGCAACAGTTAAAAACTAACAACCTGATTACCCCACATACATATTTTATGAGTTTTTTTTACTCAGAAGTACCACTGCAGGACTTGGTTGTGCATTAGTAACAAAAAGTTTAATTTGAGCCTGAGAGGGTTAAATAGATTTTATTTTTAATCATGGATTAGAATATTTTAGCTTCACTAGTTTATTTTATGTTTAAAATGCTGAACCTTAAAACATACAGCACTCCTACCTACAGCATCTTCTGTCATGAGTCACATACCTAGTGAACGGGGTCATTTACATGTCTCAGAGGACTGCAGGCGTTTTAGGGGAGATCAAGTGTAACGTTCAAAGCAAGACCTTTTACCTTTAAACACTATCTTTAACTACAGGTTAATTGCAGTCATTACTGAATAGCTCATCATTAAACCAATCAATATACAAATCTGACCTCAGGATACCAATCTGATTGGTCTCTGAATACCAGCCGTTATTATATTAATATTATATTAATAGGCTATAGTTTTGGTAAAAATCCAACCACATCAGTAAAACTGTCACTGCAATTATAGCGAGGACTGCTATAATTGCTCTGGCTTTCTCCCACAGTCCGAAGACCTACATTTAGTGGGGTTAGGTTAACTGGTGATTCTAAATTGCCCTTATGTTGAATGTGAAGGTGAATAGTTGTCTGTCTCTCTGTGTTATTAATCCTGGCAACCTATAATGGTGTCCCCTGCATCTCACTCTAATGGCAGCTGGTATAGGCTCCATACACTCCTCAGTCAGTCAGTTAGTCAGACAGACAGACAGACAGACAGACAGACAGACAGACAGACAGAAAGACGGACAGTGGTACAATGAGTGTTCACACTATCAAACTAACTGACAGGTCCTTAAACGATTGCACTGCAAGCAACCACTGGACACACTTCCTTTGATCAAAGCCCTTCAAATGTTCCATGTGAAAACACCACAGCATAATATCTTCCATTGTTGCTGAAGGAGAACAAAGCAAGCTTTGAGAAACTGTCTGAAATATGCATTATTGATCCACAGATGAATACAAGACGAAAAGAAAAGAACGGTGGACATTAAGCTTTGATGTGTCTTTTTCACTGAACACGGCTTTTAAAAACCATGGTACTGATTTATGTTATGGTTTAAGGTTCATCACAAATGACGACCCGATTGCAAACACAATAGAGGCAGACAAGCAGCTATAGCAAAAACAAAGGTGAGTTTTAATAGAAAGCTGTTTAAAACTCTCGAGTTACCATGAAAACATTCAACTCTGCGGTTATGAATCAGAATCAGAATCAGAATCAGAATGGGTTTTATTGCCAAATGTTGAGCAGGTTTACAACATTAGGAAATTGCTGCGGTGCTTCAGTGCAAACATGCTGTCATAAATTGCGCTTAAATAGACATGAAAAAATAGAAGTAAGAATAAGAATTAAAAGTGCTACATAGAAAGATATATGCATGAGATATACATGAGATATATACATGAGAATAAGAATTAAAAGTGCTACGTAGAAAGATATATACATGAGTGCAGGTGGTGATCAGTGCCAAAACATGGAATTATGCAGTGGACACAGCGTAGGGTCATGAGTTAGTGGTGGGGACAGTCGTACGTTTATTGTTCATGTGTCCAACAGCAGAGGGGAAGAAACTGTTCTTATGGCGAGAGGTTCTGGTGCGAATGGACCGGAGCCTCCTGCCTGAGGGGAGCAGGTCAAACAGACTGTGTCCAGGGTGAGAAGGGTCAGCTGAGATCCAAGCTGCACGCCGCAGTGTCCTGGAGGTGTACAGGTCCTGCAGAGATGGGAGTCTACAGCCAATCACCTTCTCAGCAGAGCGCACAACACGCTGCAGTCTCTGTTTGTCCCTGATAGTGGCTCCAGCGTACCACACGGTGATGGAGGAGGTGAGGGTGGACTCGATGATTGCGGTGTAGAATTGCATCATCGTCCGTGTTGGCAGGTTGAATTTCTTCAGCTGCCTCAGGAAGTACATCCTCTGCTGGGCTTTCTTGATGACGGAGGTGATGGTGGGCTCCCACTTCAGGTCCTGAGTGATGGTGGTACCCAGGAAGCGGAATGAGTCCACAGAGGTGATGGGGGTGTCAGTCAGGATGATGGGGGGGGAGTGGGGCTGTGTGCTTCCTGAAGTCCACAATAATCTCCACTGTCTTCTGGGCATTCAGCACCAGGTTGTTGTGGCTGCACCAGGACACCAGACGTTCAACCTCCCTCCTGTAGGCAGACTCATCCCCGTCCGAGATGAGCCCAATAACGGTGGTGTCATCTGCAAACTTGATTAGCTTGACAGACTGGTGGGTGGAGGTGCAGCAGTTGGTGTACAGGGAGAAGAGCAGAGGAGAAAGAACACAGCCCTGAGGGGAGCCGGTGCTGATGGTCCGAGAGTCCGAGACATTCTTTCCCAGCCTCACATGCTGCTTCCTGTCCGTCAGGAAGTCAGTGATCCACCGGCAGATGGGATCAGGCACATTCATTTGGGAAAGCTTGCCTCGGAGATGGTCTGGAAGGATGGTGTTGAAGGCAGAGCTGAAGTCCACAAACAGGATCCTGGCTGCAGGATGAAGTGTAGGGCCATGTTGATGGGTAAAGTCTAAAAAAATAACACAGTGGTGAAGAACTCGGGCAGCCAAACAGGCAGATGAAGGACTGAGGAAAGAGGTAAAAAAAAATTAGACTGAAACAGACAATCAGAGGGGTGGGAGAAATAATTGAAACAACACAACCAAAAACAGACATCAAGATTTTGTTTCTTTTTTGTAGTTTTTCAGTTCAGAGCATTTCCCTCATTCAGTGTAAAACAAATCTATAAAAATGCAAATTACTCCTTAACACCTCCACCATTTGCCTGCAGACTCAGGGCCCACCCTCTGTAACTGGAGGCATCAGTCACTCTGTAGGATCTCTTGGTATGTGCTGGGGGAAAACAATGGCACGTTAACACTTGGGAAGTGTGTCTTTGTTAATCAGGACACTAAAACCCAGTGTACAGTCTGTAAATGAGCAAACTATGCACTCAGTTTTGAACCAAACAAAACTGAATGTTTCTTCTTTACTTACCTGTTTTGCACCTGTTTTGTCCCTATTACATTAAATCATTAGTAAATGAATTAAACTCTGGTCCTCTCCCATGTGTGTCTTGTCTTATCTGCTCTGCTCCCTTAAGTTTCCCCTCACTGTCTCTCATGGCAGATGGCTGCCCCTCCCTGAGCCTGGTTCTGCAAGATGTTTCTTCCCATTAAAAGGGATTTTTTTCCCTTCCCACTGTCGCCAAGTACATGCTCATAGTGTGTCCTCTGATTGTTGGGGTTTCTCTCTAATATTATAGGGTCTTAACCCTACAATATAAAGTGGTTTGAGGTGACTGTTGTTGTTATTTAGTGCTATATAAATAGAAGTAAATTTAACTTTGAAATGAATTAAAAGTGCTGGGTTGTTGGAAATGAGAAAATACTTCAAACCCTGGGCCTGCACTGGCATAAAATTTTCAACAGAGTAAAGCAGACTGACAACACTAATGGCACCAAGGTTTTAATATATATGCATTTGTGATCATTCTGGTGATTGTAATTTTCATAATGTGAACAATTCATTTTGGTGGACCACGAGGGCACGAAAGCTTACATAAACTGGTTGAAGTGCATCTGCTTAAGGGGTACTTCATAAATTAAAGTAATGTGGGACTAATGAAGAAGGTTGCCTGATTTATTTAAAGATGAAAAGAAGGATTTACATGAGGTTGCGTTTCGGGGTTTTAATAAACATTTTTTAACTCACTAAGTAACATCCTAACATTTTGAAATTTTCTTTGGTACAATTAGGTTCTGAATCATTAATCACGGTGGCTCTGTTCACAGTCTTTCAGCAGTTCAACAACCCTTAATTAAACTAAAATGGATGCAAGTCGGATCGTGTATCCCATCAGCAGTCCCAGTGGGTGGGAGATTAATAAACTTGGCTAACATTTTTCATAAAACTTATCTTGGACTTTATCAATAATGGGTCAAAACAGATGAGAGCCATTTCTGAGTACTAAGACATGATGTTGAAGTACAGCAAAGATACTGGCTGATCAAATTACACTGGTGCATATATATATATATATATATATATATATATAGATGCAGCATATTTTATCTGTTCTGCCTGTTTTAAACTTTGAAATTGGCATCACAGTTTGAATTGGACTATTTCCAATGAACGCCTTTAATGATTTTCTTTTGAGAAAAATAAATCAATTCAATTCTTGAATAACTTTTAAAACACTGTAGTACATAATTGTGAAGCATATTGAAAATTGGCACTTTGGTATAATTACTGAGCGAAAAGACAAGAACAAATCAGGGAACTGAATAAAATTAATATCTAGCCAGCATAATTAAATTCTACATTGTAATAATAGCTTATTTTAGTTCCTCATGTTTGTGAGCCCACACACTGACCCCTAATGAATCATTCCAGATGAGCATTAACATGTAATTACCTTTTGTCTCATTAGACAAATTTTGTCCTATTCCAAAATGTTATGATGGATCATTATAGTATTACCAGGCTATTTAGCTGCGTTGGGCTTACATTGTAAATCTACTTCGTGCTTTATTCAATTCATAACACCGTAAATTATTATTCTCCTCCAAACCATCAATTATACTTTATATAATGACTCTGGTTTGTCACGTTTAGGCTAAGGGAAATTTGCACCAGTTTTGCAGTATCTATCTAAATACACAACTTTGGTTTAAAATAAATACATAAATTAATTTATCCAAACGGTCAATCCTACTGGATCGACGTACACAGAAGAATTTCAGTCGGCAGTTTTGTACGTGTCTTCAGTACATTTAGTCAACCTACTGCAAATGCCTTGGCATGGGTTCGAGGACACGAGCATCTTGCAGCGTAGTCTCTTTATCTCCGGGAGTAAGTGAGACACTAGTACAGAGACTGTTGGGTAAGGGTGATGCGCACTGAGAAGCCCCCCAAAAGGCTGTTGCTTCGCTTACTGGACTCACACGAGGATGGATAGAGTTTTTGCGTAACGGTAACGCGGTGGATTTTTGTACTCTTTTTCCAAATTTTGGTCGCTTTGTAATTACGTTATTAACGGAAATAACGTTCAAGGAGTTGTTCGGGGGATTCCCCAAATGTCCATCCTTTGAATTTATTTTCAACAACAGTAGAAAGATCTAACATTCCTGGAGATTGCCTGTTTGCAAACGTTTTGGATACTATAGCGTCTCACTCATATGGCGTTCTGACTGGATTGATTTGATTTGTCTTCTACTGTTATATCACGAAAAAAAAATTAGGTTGAAATGTCCGACTTCCACAACCGGAGCCAAACAAGCGCACGTCGCAGTGACTACGTGTGGCAGTATGAATATTATGACGACGAAGAGCCCGTGTCGTTCGAGGGACTCAAAGCGCACAGATGTAAGCCAAACACATTACTAAGACCTTTCCCATTGTTTCTGATCTCCTTCTAAATTGTGCAGTGTTTATGTCTATGGCTGTGTTATGTGTAGCCTATGTGTATGCCTTCCAGCGCACTTTTAATTAAATGATTCATCACCCTTTGGTCCCCCTTACTCCTTGCATTATTGCTTTAGCTGAACGCTGTCTGTTTCTCAGCAACATTGTGTAGCAGATTTAGTTCGTGCAGCACCTGTAGTGCCGTTTTGTACTCCAGTGGAAGCCTAATAGTCAAGCCAATTAATGAGACCAAATTGTAATGCCAAACAATTCGGTTACTTTAATCAAATGTTAGACGAACGAAATTTCACTCTTTACAACACAATTAAGAATTCTGTCCTCAGAGTGAGGCTTCCAGTTGAGAATAAAAGTCACACACAGAAAATGAGAAGAGCAGAGATTAATGTAGTCATTAATTGTACTAATAAGATTCTTCCTTCTCTGACCTTTCAGACTCCATCGTCATCGGCTTTTGGGTTGGACTTGCTGTGTTCGTGATTTTCATGTTCTTTGTTCTCACTCTGCTCACAAAGACAGGAGCGCCACATCAAGAGTGGGTATAATAGCAGGCTGGAGCCCATGTTTATTTCCACTTTCACATTTCCCCCTACAAGGACATTTAAAGCACCGTGGAGAGCTCAAGGAAATAAGCACTTAGCACTTCTCATCTAGGTGGCTGTTTAAGAGTGAGCTGATGAGTTTCAGGGATGCTGTTCTGACAGTAGACTGTGCAAAAGTCTTGAGCTACCCCCACATTATTTATTAGTTTTCTAGAAAAACTGGAAATAGTGTAAACATTTTTGAAACATGTGCGAAATAAATACAGTTTGTAATGCAGAAACAGTGTCTGTACAATTCTAATGAGCTTGAAAGTCATTTTGTTGGTATGTCCACCTTAATTCTTCACCACAGCCTGAACTCTCTTAAGCAAGCTTTGTGGTCATTTATTTAAGCAGTCTGCAGGAATAGCTCTCTGGGCTCTTTGAAGGGCATCCCAAAGCCTTTCTTTGGATGCTTGGTGCCTTTTGCACCATTCTTTCTCAAGATGATCCTACACTGTTTTAATAACATTGAAGTCCAGCAGTCCATAAGACTTGTTGCCATTTATTTTCAGCCCAGTTCATGTGTAATTTGGAATACTTTAGCATTTCCTCCTTGTTTCCCAATGAAAGGGTGGCTTCTTGACAGCCACCCTTCCACAGAGATCATGTCAAATGAGGCTTCAATTAATAGTAAATGGCTCAGGTTAGATGTATCACTCGGCCCCTGTCTCAGTTCTTTGCCAGATTTCTTTCCCATTTTTTAAGACTGTGACCATCAGATAGTGTTCATCTGCTGTAAATTGTTTTTTAGGCTTCTTCTTTTGTCTTCCACTTGTCCAGTTTCTTCTCCATGTTTTAGGGTCACACTGCAAACCATGCCAAGATATGCCTAGTTTTCTGCTAACAGCTCATTTGGATTTACCTTATTGGTGAAAAAGCCTTTATCTTTGGCATTTTTGAAAATGTAACTAAAGAAATGGGAACACATGTTGTGTGTTTGTGACAGGCTGCTAATAACAATTTGCCTAAAGGTACAATTTAAAATAGATTCTTTGCTAAACTGTATGTCAACATAACACTGGCACATGTCTTGATTTAGGTCCTTCTAATGCTTCAATGAATCATAGGTCAGTTTTAAGTAGCTGAACAAAAAAACAGAAATCCTCAGGTACAAGGACTGGCCTGAAAATGACTGGAAAAACAGCTAATATCCAAAGAAATTAAAAAGTGCTCTTGAGCTATAGTGCTCCAGGCTTTTTGAATCAAAGACCTTCAGAAAGCCCAGAGAGCTATAGCTCAAGAGCACTTTAGAAAAATTACAAGAAGGTCTGTCTCTTTCAAAGCAAAATATAAAGAAATGAGAGATTACTGGGCATTTTGCACATTACTGTATGTTGTAAGACATTGTAATATAATTAGGTCATGTTGAATACATATATAGATGAGTGACAAATAAAAAAAGGCCAACATAAATTAACTTAAAGCGATTGGTCACCATCAATTCATCGCTCATTGACAATGATTCCTCTAGTTTTGAGAATGCTGCTGCAGGGATGGCCCACAACGGATTATCCATCCGTGATGGTGGTGGAGTGTTTTGTTATACACTTTGGTCCAAAATCTCCAAAACGTGTTTAACTACTTTACAATGTGATGACTGGAAAAACCGTAGCATATTATTCACATCACTTTCATACTCATCCGTCACCTCTTGTGTTGTTTGGATGGGAACAGTTAGCCTTAAGAAAAATACAGAATGAATAATGAATATAAACCATTGTGTGAATAAGTCTAGGGTTCATGTTTTGCCTGTAATTTTTCAACTGCCTCTTTACTGATTTTATATTGTGCTTTTTACAAAAGATATTTGAACTGGCGCTGAGCTTCGTATTGTCAAAGGCACATTTTCCATTTCAAAATAATAACCAGAACTGGAAATTGGTGAGAAGTCACTTATATAATGTCAGACTGAATACAGCTCTGTGGTTAAACCAAGGCGGAGTAAGTAGTTACCCCTGCTCAACCCTGTTCCTTTTTCAGCATGGGTGATTTTAAGAATCCATTTCCAGACACAGAAGCAAAAAAGCAAGGGAGAACAAAAAAATCCTTTATTTTTTCTATTGAACTAATGTTACATTCAGGACAAAAATGACCAAAAAAAGCGCCTCATATTGTTAAAGCCTTCTCCTGCTGTAATCTCACTCTCATCTTTCTTTGTTTCTTAACAGTAACCCAGACTCGGCTGAAAAGCGTCATCGACCGGGAAGCTGTCTGGTAGACATTGATGGTCACCAGGATGAAAACGACAAAGCCTTCTCACGTCCGTTGCTAGCAGGATCCCGTTCATATTTTAATTTCTACATCAATGAGGAAGACAAGGGTCACGGGAAGCAAAAAGTAGAAGAAAAGAGAGCTGGAAAGCACACCGGGGCCCGAGCCGAGCAGGGAACCTTCAACCGGAACAGAGGTGTCAGCTCCTCTGGGATGGACGAGATGGAAGAAGACATTGAGGAGGCTGGGGTCCACCAACAGCTTACTGGACTAATAGAACAGAGCAAGACAGACAGAGAGTGCACCTTTCTTTCTCACTTCAACATCCCTAACTTTGTCAACTTGGATCACAGTTCAACTCTTGGAGAGGATGATCTGCTATATGAGCCCTCAGTCATACTAGAGCGTCAGTCTAAATGTCACGATGCTCACTTTGACATCCACTAAGGCTCGTCCTGCAGATAAGCATGGTTATAGTGATACCGTAACACCATTTGCTTTTTCAGAGGGTCATTTATGAACTGACAATGAGAAATATACTCATCACTAAGCTTCTGTGTATGAAGTTTTGTTGTGTTTTTTTTACAGCCAACAACCAAGAGGGCACAAAACCTAGCTGACAGATCAATATTCAGTGCAACTCAAAGTTATAAGATGATAATTCTTCCTGAAGTTGAAATTGCCTCAGGCGAGATACCTGTTATTTTGAGTATAGGCTCTGGAAATGGACGCAGCTGTGCTGTACCTGGATGAGATGACATTTTCACACAGGAACAGATAAAAATGGAAGAGTGCCAGGTTCACAAGGGAGATTTTTTTTTTTTGTAGTTCTGTAGAATTCATCATGTTGTTATTGCTGTGTCGTTTTCCTTGTAGAATTTTGAACGCTGGGCATTATCTTTTAAAAACGAAATAAATGCCAGCTGGTCTACCAACAAATTTAAAAACTGTGAATTAATCAAGTTTTGTCCTAAGATTAAGTGTTTAGAAAAGGTGAAGTGTAATTCTGTGTAGCAAAAGGTATAATTAGTAGTACAAAATCAAATATATCAGAATAGGGACTCGCAGGAGAAAATACACAGCGCTTTTGTAGTCGGAAAATCTATTAAACTTACTGAAGGTGAATGTTAACTGTTCTAATAAAACTTAAATGTTTTTGAAATTAACTCACGTTTGGAGTGGTGCAGTATTTTTCTGAATGTTGTGTTTGGACTGACTCTCGCCTTCATATCTTTCAGGGACTCAAATGTCTACGAGTACAAGAGATGTGACTGCTTTCACCTGCGGTGACAAAGCAAAAGAGGATTATGGCTCTGCGGTTCATCGCATTAACATTTACGTAACGAATACAGAGGATAACTACAGAGCAGTTGGCAGAAACCAGAATCGCCCTAAAAAGTAAAGTTTGATCCGGATCACAGCTGTGAAAGAAAATCTATACCGTCATTATCCTTGTGTTTGGGGACATTTTAACAGAAGAGCTCATGCATAAAAGCCTAAATGCTGCACCCCTACTTGTCTTTATTCATGTAGAAATATCGCCCCCAGCTAAATCAAATTAAAATTGTTTTGAACAATATCAGGTGATAATTATGCAAAGGAACATTGCTAGTTATCATTATTACTTAACGGGGACTGCATGAGTTACATACATTTGTCTGATGGAAGGATGTGCTGGGAATGCTCGAGAGTTCATCAGCATTAATGCGACACTGACTTCACTGAAGCAGCCTCTTAGGTTTTGACAAACAGCCCATTAATTCTTACCAGTGAAAATTAATGTAAAAATAAAGACCTCTGACCTCGACTGACATTTCTCATATTTCTTGAAAGGCAGGCGGTCGAGACCAGGCTCACAAAATGTGGTTTGTTTGCCCGGAGCTTGTTGCAAGTAAGGCTTGTAACATTTATCCAATATTCTTTTTCTCTGGGCTAAAATCACCAGAGGGAACACTATATTATTTATTTAATTTAAGTGCATTATCATTCTATTTCATAAGAAATCATTAATTATTTTTCCAAATAATAAAACATCAGGGTAGCTTTTATGGGCAATGAATAGTGTTAGTAAGTTAGAAACGTCACGTGGCTTCAAGCAAGCTTTGACAGATTTTTTTTCATATTCCTCTTTTTTTAAAATTACTAAGTGCAAAATATCACATGTACCAAAAATATTCCTGCATCTTTTCCCCTTTCATTGCACTGACAGCAGTGCATGCCAGGTTTGTTAAACATTAAAATCAGTAAGCCAAAGTGCTGTTCTGTAGATATTAAGAACTCTTTTAGGGAGTTTGTAGCTCAATCAGGAGGCAGTAAACTCTGTAATTAGGAGCAGCTGAGGTCAGACAGTCAAGAACTGTGTAGGTAGAAAGCATGTTCATATTGGTTATGTAATGCAAACTTCAAACTAAGTTAACCTTAACAGGACCTTTTCCTTGCTTTTCCTTAATTTATTTCATCCCTATACAATGGTGGACATTCTTATCCAGCAGAGTTGCACGTATTCTCTGTGAACCAGAAGCTCAGGCTTCACACTGGTTTTGCAACACCCTTTTTTATTTCTAGTGGCTTTTCCTACTCATGGATCCTCATCACAGAAAGCAAATATCCCTGACACTGCGATCTCAGGCACACAGTTCCGTTGGAGTGCAGGGACAGCAAATCAGAAGAAACTTGGCTCCAAGGACGTGGGAGCGAGGGGGTTAATATTTCAGAGAGTGAAGAATGAACTCAATATATGCTTTATAAAAACACTATATTGTATTGTGAAAACATCTGTGGCACTTCAGAAATTATATATTCATTGTTTTCATCTCAGTAAACATTTTTGAATGGCAAGACATCACATAGATATCATTGCTGATACGAGAGAATGGCTTGGCAGTAACAGACAGAGCAGCAGTGAATCAGCGTGTTTTTTATCTTATAACTGAGGGGGTGTTCAGTCAGCTGAGCATCCACTAGGCACTCTCAAAGACAAGAAGGCCAGCAAACTATCTGCCAGCAAAATCAATCAGATAGAAAAGCAATATGTTCATTTTAACTAATTGCATATATACTTAAAGAGTATGCATGTGAAACCCCTCTAGCTAATTAGTAATTTCATATGATCTGCTACAACCTAAATTATCAAACTTATGTGACTTTAGAATAATGTGTGCAGGATCCACAAGCCTCAGCAGTTAGCCTAGGGCGTGTGTGCAAACTGTATAGACTGTATATCTTTCCTGCAGTCTCTGGGGCTCACCCTGCATGGGTGCAGCTCGCATCAACAACCAGTGGATGGAGCAATGGAGTTACATCAAGTCTGAAATCTGTTATTTTTCCTAAGTACCCCCAAGGCGGTCTCTGTAGGCATGCTGGTTGAAAGTTGGCGGTTTGCAATGTCTGCCCAGCAATGAGTAGCAACGGAGGAATGGCAGGGAGGGACAGGCATGGCTGAAGAAAAGCAAACATTGCTGTGTTTTATTGACACAGAAATTTCTCTGGATTTGGTGGGTGTTGAAAAGAAGTGCCAGTCAAATGCTAATTATACATTTGCGTACGCAAAAACAAGACGTGCAACATATCTCATGTTTCAATGAGCCAATGAGTAAGGGCAAAGTTTTACAGTCTCTCTTTCACTCTCTGCAATGCAAGGAATGGTTGAGCAGCATTTAGAAAATTCTGGTTAAACCCCATAATTACTATTCCTAAGAAGACCCATCAGAATTAATCGTGTTTCTTTAGCCTACTGTGTGCTTTTAAATAAGCCTCTTATTGTTTGCCAAACATACATTAGAGTTGAGGTGTGTGTCATCTTGACCCCTGAAGTCACTCTAAACAGTTATTCTACATTTAGAGGCCACAAAAAGAAACCAACAAATTGAGACATAAGACATGGGAATGAGTGTAAGAACTGAGTCTTCCATGGTTACGTTGAATCTAATACTGTCTTTTTCCTAAACGAAGACTGTCAGCTTGGCTCCAGAAGCTTGACAATTCAAATTCTTTTCCAAAGGAAATGTGGGTGGATACAAAGAATGAGTAACTCTTTCTTTTCCCTCAACAAAGCAGCTTTATGCACGTGCCTGCAGTGGAGCTGCTCACTCCAACAAAAGGAGGCTGTTTGTAGCAAGCGGCTGCTAGGTAAACATGTCTGCAACTGTATGACACAAAGGGCAGGACTGAAACAATTCTTGGCGCACACTGTAAATCTGCTCATTGCTGTTCCTCTGTCTGAAAATGCATAGAATGTCTTGTTAGACCACATAACACTTCTAGCCAAATTGCCAAGTAAAACAGAATGTGTGACTCACCAGGAAAATTCAATCATCCTACCAAGCATTTGTATTGTCACTTTATAACAAGCTCTTAAACTAATCCTCGCAATATGGGTCAATTAGAGGAGTCAGCACTACTAAAGAGACATGGAACGGTGGTTTTCTTTTTCTCTTTTTTATGTCATGGCTTCTAAAAGGTTTTCTATTTTTTCCATGTGTTATTTGTTTAATCAGCTCCAGACTGGAAAAACTGGACCTGCACTCCCTTTAGCGTGAATTTTGCCGAGTGGACTTTTTTTTCATATTTTGTTGCTGAATTGCATAGACAAATGTAGTTTAGTTACCCATCGTCATCCCAATCCTAGTTTGATAAGAAGAGATCACTTGTAAGAATTTGAACACGATTTATTGAGACAGAGAAATTGATGTATTTGTTGATTAGACCCACCATGGCAGAAAGAAATCCCAGCGGTGATGGGAATTAGGATAGGACCCCCTGGAGTCTAGGTACTGGTGTTGGTAAAGGTGAAGACTAAGGCTCGAGTGAAGGTCTGACTAAGGTGTCCGTGAGGTGGAGATGGGGAGGAGGTGGTTTGCACATATGAGAGAGAATGACAGATAGCACAGATTTAAACTACACAAAGTGGAGGATGATTGGCCCAAAGGAGGTGAGCAAGAAAATGATTGGATGAGAATAATAATGACAGTATTGAGATCGACAGGGTGGGAAAGCAGTAGTGATGTAGAGAACAGAAAGGCAGACAAGCACCCGGGAAAGCAGGCAGATGAGTGATTCCTCATTGAATTTATGCTTAAGCTTCATATAAAGTACAATTTATATTTAAAGATTCAAAGAGTATACACATATTTCAAATAGTCTTAGAATTTTGCACAAATGATAATCAGAAAATACTGATTTAAACATTTTTTTAGAAGATATAGAATGTTAAAACTTATGCTAATGTTTAATTAGATACAAGTTCAAACTTGCAAAAACATTGGAACAGGGGCAGCAACTGACTGGAAAGGATCCATAATTTTAAAAACACACATACACACACAAACACACACACACACAAACTGCAAATTTCTTCATCTACCGTAATTTCAAAATATTTAATAGGCCACAGAATTCCTGGGACTCTGCCAAAAACCTTATTTGGATGGTCATCTGCCAGTCCTCAAGAAGCACTCCCAGCACTGTTAATCACTGCATGGATTCAGGATCACTGCATTCAGAAATGTGACTTTAAACATTTAAAATGGAAAGAACAAAACAAACATAAACAAGATTCAGATATGCTGCCACATTTATTGGTTCCAAGCTTATTTGAGGGGGACTGAGGCAAAGTGGGAAACAGGTTTCTAGTCTAACAAATCAAAATTTTAAGTTCTCTGTAGAACAGATGGATGTCTTCTAGGCTAAAAAGGAGAGAGACTATCCAGCTTGTTATCAGAGGAGTGAGTACAAAAAAACAGCATCTGTAGAGAGTACGGGGGTTCATTAGTACACTGCACACTGTTCACTGACTTGCACATCTGTGAAGGAGTAGCATAAAGCTGCCAGCCACACAGCATTTTCTCAGGGTAGGCCTTCATTATTTGTGCAAGGCAATGCCAAACCACATTCTGCATGTATTACAACATGCAGAATGTCGCTCCATAGTAAGAGGGTTCAGAGACTAAGGTGATGTGCCCAGACCTGCTACACATCGAGAGCTTTTTTGTATATTAACAAACTGGAATTTGCAAATTCCAAAACTGTTAAGCAGGTTTCAGCTAAGCATTTGAAAGACCACAGTTTGTCTCACTGCATTCTATTACATTTAAAGTTTCAACTTTTTATTCTTTCTTTTTTCTCTAGATATTGAATTATAATGCACTGGTAAATCATTTACATTGGGCAAGTTCCCCTATTTGTTTTGTTATTGGTAAAAGGAACAAGTAACAAGGTGAGGCTAGGTGTAAATTTTTTATAGGCTGTAGAATGAGGCAGGTTTCAGTTTCTGTGGCCCATGAATAAGTCATGGGAAACAGACAACCCAAGAGGAGGAATGCATTTGCATGTATTTATTAATGCCATGCATGCCTTTTGATGTGTTGTGTGTACACAGAGCTTGTTATGTGTAGATAAAAGGGTCCGGCATGCAAGGACTAGCACTGGTTTTTAAAGCTAGGGTCTACAGTAACACAAAGGTTCTGCAAAAGAAAGGGAAAGAATAAGGTAGTGCAAACCACCTAGTGGATGTGAACATGCTGGTATTTCCTAAAGCAGATAAAACCCCACAGACTGGGTCTTTTAGGGGAGCCTATCTCACAGCATGCAGCCTAATACACAGCCGTTACACAACGCAGTGACATAGCTGTTGTGGCATGGTGCTCAAAGCCTCGGGGTGTTACCTAGCTGGGGCAGATTCCAGCTGCGTCCTTCCCCTTCTTACCATGGGAAAAAAATAACACTTCAAAAGTTGCAGACTCAATTGCATCTAACTGGCGTACTGCAAAAGTTAGCCTTGAAATTCTTTTCTGTTAAGCTTGCACTGAATATTTATTAGTTAGTCCGCTGCAGAGTGGCATGTCTGAGGAGGTTAGAGTTACCTGAGAGAAGCGGCACAGCACGCTGAAAGACTTCATTTATGAGGGCTATTCCAGGGGGCTACCTTTGACCGGTTTGTTCCCCATAGAGCCACGAGAAA